GGTAAATACTCAGGATGTGATTGCTGGATTGTATTGCAAAAGTATGTTTAGTTTTGTAAGAAACCACCAAACTGTCTTCCAAAGTGACCATGCCTTTTACATTTCCACCAGCAATGAATGAGCGTTCCCATGGCTCCACAGCCTCTCCAGCATCTGGTGTCAGTGTCCTCGATGTTGGCCGTTTGAATGGGCATAATGTTTCCACTTGAATTGTCCTGATGGCATACAAGTGGAACATCTTTTCTTATACTCATTTATCATGTGTATATCTTTTTTAGTGGGATACCTGTTAAGGTTCTATTGTTTTAAAAAATAGTCTATTTGCTTTTTCCTTAGTACAAAAATAGTATGCACTCAAAACTAGCCAGCAGTTTCTCATCTTACTCGGTATAAAAACTAATGGTCTCTCTTTCTTTCCACCATAGCATTCATCACCCCCAGATACATTATATTTTTACTCATTTATGATCTGTCTCATCTCACTAGAGTATAAGCTTCTTGTTCTATTAAAACCACGCTGACACCCAGAGGCCCTGAATAAATAGTCTCTTCATGGATGAAGGCATGCTGCTCATGGACTCTTGAGTACAAGCTCTGCTTCTACAACCCAGATGAGGATGTGGCTTGCTGGGGCTTAGTTTGGGTCAAGGACCAGGCAATACCATATCTGTAAACATTTTCCAGTCAGAAGCATAGATTGTATATCAGTCAGGGAATTGGAGCCTGCATAATTGGAGCCAGAGGTTGAAGGCTGCGGGAGTGAGGACAAACCAGAGACCAGAAGAGCAGGCACACAGGAAGCCATCACCATGACCTCAGCTGAATTGTGCGTGAGAAGTGGGTGGTTCTCAAGAGAATGTGTGAAAACCTCAGGTAACATCCCTGCCATGTCTGTCATCTGCAGATAGCCACATCCTGATCTGTAGCTGCCACTTGGGGCAGCGGGTGGGGGGTGAGGAGGCTCTTCTTCTGTCTGCAAAATCTTAAACAAGTGCTTCTCAATGACCAAATCTAAGTGAGCCTCCTGGCAAGGGAGTTTCAGAACTGTGACTTTGAGCTTCTCATCCCTGCAGTACAGAGGAGAACTTCAAAAGGTAGAAAGATACTGATTTTCAACAAACGAAATCCCGCACAATGTTCAGTCATTGGTTAGGGAATTAATTTATGGAGGGTTTAGTTTGTTCCTGCCCATCATAAGCCAGCTGACATGCTGCAATGTCACATTTTAAAATCTAAACCCAGGGTCCCTAACGGTATTCCAGCACACATCACTAAATTCATTCCACATGCCTTGTCCCTGCCCCAAGCAGCACTTCCTAGTGCACCTCTGGAAATGACTGTCTAGCGTGCTGGACAACTGAATTACACAGTATGTGTGGAGTTAAATACTGTGTGATTTCCTCAAATCACACAATATTTCTTCTTTCTTCCCTGGGAAACACAAATGATGCTTCCCTCTACCTTCTTGTCCTATCCCATATTCCCTAAGGGTGTGCTGCTCCCACCTGGCAGGGGCTCTGGAAACAACCTTGGCTTCACTTGCTCACAGGTGTGACTGCAGCCAATGTTTCAGGGGCACCAACCATTTGGGTCTCAACTTCCAACTGGCAATTCAGACCCAGCCAGAGGCGGGGGACAGGGAGTGCCGCACCACAGGGGAGCCTTCCTAACACTCCAGTGGGCTCAGAGTGAGCAAAGTAAACACTGTGCTGACTCCCCGTTAGAGCAGAAATGGAGCAGAATGGTGGGCTGCGATGGCACTGTCGCCGTGGAGCTCACTATCTCGCCTGGTGAGCAGGCAGCAGCCCTGCCAGGAAGAGACCTTTAGAAGATGCTGCTATCCCATTTTGCTCAGACGGCTTTGCTCTGACACACTGGTCTCAGCTAGTTTGGGGCACATCACTGCAAACAAGTATTCAAAAATAGAACGGGCCTCAGCTATAAATTGCTCACAGGCATTTTCCATGGTGCTATTATGTCCTTCTTAAAGGCCTCCAGACAGATACAGTCACATAGTTGGCTGAAGACTGTGAAGTCAGGCCAACAAAAGAAATCTCACGAACTCCTGGGTAACAAAACAAAGAGATGGTGCCACTCCTGTGAGCCTAGCGTGGCCCAGTAACAGCTCCCAGCACCCTGCTTTATACTTCACACCAACGCAGCGCAAGCCTCTCCTCCCAGAGTAACCCAGACGCTTTCACTTCCTCGTTGACATCATGATGATCCTTTGGAGATACCCTGAACCCTGAAACATTCAAAGCCAGGGACTTGAATTTTATGTAGAATGTTAAATTCTTTCCCTCGCCACATCTCTTGAAGAGATATTTGACTCTTCAGAATTCTATTCAATGTAAGGGAAATAGAAATTTCAAACACAAGTATAAAAAACTTGCCAAAACTCCCATAATTGCTTTTGACACAGTCTTGGAATTTCACTGAAAAAAAGAAAAATTCCTCCTCCATGAAGTGGGCCTGTGACTCAGGAACTGACCTCAGTTTCTTCATTCTGTCTCCCTTGGTGAGAGCAGAATCTCTTATATTATGCTTTGTGTTGTGCCCCACTCCTGTCTGATTTCTGTGGACATTTCCTCCAGCCCTTAGGCTCTCGAGCTCCACAATCATCAGCTTCCCCATGTCCTCCCTGCCCTCCCCACAGACTTCTTCCTGTGCTCCCAAATATGCCCAGTGCACTTCTGTTGAGATATCTTATTTGATTTTCCTGCTATTATCTCTTTTCTTTTAACCTCAAGGCTTCTCAAGTAAGTAATCTATACGTACAACTGCATTTCCTGGCCCCTTCTGCTGTTCTTAATACCTTGAAATCTAATGTTTACATTTTTCTTGAAACATCATTATTAATTCTTAAACATAAAATGACTACTTGCTTCCAAAGCCGAATGCTTTGCTGTAACTACCATAAGAAACCAACCACAAACGTGTGATGTAAAACAATATCAGATATAGTTTACACGTTTTACAGATTCTGAGGGTTCCTCTGATGTAGGATGGATTTGGCTGGTGGCACTTTTTGCAGGCTGTGGCTGCCAAGATGGCTCTACCATACACTAAAGTCAGCCAGGGAGGTACTCTGCACATTCTCTCTCCCCCTTCCTGTAATTAGAGAGAAGTTTGGGGCATGTTCTTATCATGGTCATGCCAGAGACAGAACAAGCTTAGAGGAAACATGTAATGCTTCCTAAGGCTTAGGTGTGAAACTGGCACACGGTCATTTTTTCCCACTTGCTGTTGACCAAAACAAATCACCTGTGTAAATCCAAAGTCTCGGGAGCAGAGAAGTACACACATCTATGATGACACCATGGCCAAGGTGTGGATGTAGGCAGTGGTGGAGCATTGGAGTCATTAATTCAGTCTGCCACAACTGAGACCCACTCCTACTTCAGCTTTTGTGACTGTACCTTTCTGAGACCCAGAAGGTATCAGGTGACCTTGTAGTGGCTCTTCTAGTTATATAACTACTAAAAACGCAGTGCATGAAATTTGTGCACAGGGGGTGAGGGTGTCCCTCAGCCCAGCCTACCCTTTCTCCAATCTGGGACCCCTCAAGGGCAGTCGGACATCCCTCTCACAACCCAGGACTGCTGGCTCCCAACTGCTCGCCTGCTTACTTTCTGATTGCCCCTAATCGCTTCTTGCCTGCCAGCCTGATAAATGTTTACTGCTCCCCTGCCACCCTGTTTGCCCCCAACTTCCCTACTCTGCTGGCCTGGTCACCCCTAACTGCCCTCCCCTGTAGGCCTGAGTCCCGCCCAACTGCCCTTCCCTGCAGGCCCAGTTGCCCCCAACTTCCCTCCTCTGTGGCTGGTCAGCCCCAATTGCCCACCCTTGCAGGCCTGTTCCTCCCTACTGCCCTCCCCTGCTGGCTGTCTTGTGTCAGCTATCTTGTGTCCACATGAGGGCAGTCATCTTTGACCACATTTTGACAGCCATCTTGTGTGTTGGAGTGATGGTCAATTTGCATAGTACTCTTTAATTAGATAGGATTATATAGGATAGAGACCTGGTGCACTGATGGGGGCTGGCTGGTTTGCCCTGAAGTGTTTCCTGGATCAGTGTAGGGGTTCCCTTGGGGTGTAGGGTTGCCTGGGTGAGGGGCCTGTGATGGTTTGCAGGCTCTCCATGCCCCCTGGCAACCCAACTGGAGGCTCTGGTATCTGGGATTTATATATATATATATATATATATATATATATATATATATATATATATATATATTCTCCCCATCTCCCCAAATAGTCTGTACACCAAGGAAGTGATGGCTGCATTGAGGAAGTGTAGGATTTAGAAGCAGACAGAGCTGGTTTGAATCATATTTGGCTTTTTATTACCTGTGTGCCTTGAGGAAATTTATTAAAATCATTGAATATCAGTTTTCTCACTTATTAAAATGTGTTGTTGTTTTTTACATTAAAGAATCTTGGGAAGACAGAAAATAGATCATGTATGGGAAACACTTAGCATTCAATAAGCTCCCAGTAATATTTTTGTTTCCTTCCAATTTTTCCTTTTTCTGTCTCCCATGGCTTCTTGTTGCTGTTTAATATTATCATGTTCAATTTACATATTTTAATTTGTTCTCCGTAAATTAAAAAAAACTTCAAGTTAAGGAATCTATGTCTTTTGCATCTCTTAGTTGTTTACATATATGGAAAATGTGAATTACCCATCTTAAGAGAGAAAAGCCTTTTTCTTTCTCCAAGGTTACTAGGAAAGAAATCTTGCCTGTATTAACAGAGCCCAGTCAATTGTGAAGGAATTGCAATTTCTATTGAATGTTTTCAGTTATCCTGTTTTGCATCACTTTTTTCTACCTTGTTCAGAATCCATTCAGTTTATTCCAAGAAAACATTTTCTCAAAGAGAATGATACTGGCCATTTCTTGCTCACTGTGAATTTCAGCATGAGTATTTCTCCAGACCTCTCCCTAATGATTGATTGATTAATTTTTCTGTTGATCAACTGCTTTTCTTGGTTTGCAGAGATTATGGTAACCCTTCCTCCTCATCCCCTGCTACAAGAATGTATCCTTTTATTTGTGAAGGTCTTTATCTTGCCGTTTTCCTGCAAGCTCACAGTAGTGTTTGTTTTAGAAGCTGTATCTGCACAGGTTTTCAATGACTCAGAATGCTCTACTGTCTTTTCTGTAAGAAAGAATTGAAATGTTCTCCTGCAGTACCCCCTTCCCCCTCACAGTTCTGCCTGGGTTTCTGTGGATCCCTAATTCCCAGAAGCATGCTGCTGAGTTGGACACATTGTCTATAAACTCCTAGATAATGTGTCAAGTCATGATGCAGACTTCAGATAGTTCTGTATAAATATATATATATTAACAACAACAAAAACATGGGTAAGACAAACCATTCAAGGATAAGTGGGTTCCAAGGATGCCCAACACCCCCATTCTGTTCCACATACTGAGATGGAGCAGTGCACCTCTCTCCTGCTAGCAGCTGTTAAAGAAAATGCTCTGTTTCACATGGTGTGGATGGAAGCCTCTTGTCTGGTTTGTAGCTTTGTAGCTGGCACAAAAGTAGAAAAAGCAGAGATTATTTCTGTAGAACCAACAGAAAACTGGAATGAAATTAATAGGGTAAAGCCTATACGTAGCACTAAACAAGTTTGAACTTATAATATTGCATACAGAAAAGATAAAACAACCTAGCACAATGGGATTCTGTGTAGGTAAAGGTACAGAATCACTCTTTGTTAATGGATAACCTAGTCCCTAGTGAACTCTGCCACATCTGGAAGACTTGGGTAATTCCGCATGATACTCTGGAAAGATCTCTAAAGAACTGCGAGCAGTTAGAGGAGGGCAGTGTGGAATGGAGGGTCTAGAAGCCTGCAGGACAGGAGCACAGCACAGAGAGTGGCTCTGGCTGTCTCTGCTTTATTCTAACTCAGAGGATAGATCCATGCTACTCAGCAATAGGAGCCTGCCATGTAGGGCACTAAGTTTCCTGAATTTTATAGGATTGTCATGAATATATATGTATTCACAGGGCAAGGAAGAGGGGGGCATGGAGAAGAGTTCCTCGATGGATATAAAGTCAGTTGTACAAGATGAATTAGTTCTTGAGATCTGCTCTTAGCATAGAGCCTGTGGTGTACAGTACTGTTATTATGCACTTATATATTTGTTAAGAGGGTAGACCTTATGTTAAATGATCTTCACACACACACACACACACACATATACACACCAACAAAGTGCCACAATAAAACTTGGGGAAGTACTGGAAATGTCCAATGATGATAGTGGTGGTTTCCTAAGTCTATGCATATGTCTAAACTCATCAAATGGTATATATTAAATATATGCAGTATTTTGTATATCAATTATACATCAATAAAGCTGTTTGGAAAACAAAATGAGAGAAAAACAAAATTTACCTTAAGTGGGGCTGTGTTAGCAGAAGCAGAAGAAGGGGAGAAAGAAGTGAAAGCAAAGGAAGATGGGACAGTTCTGGTGATGCTTTAAGACACTGGTCGGCAAACTGTGGCTATGTTGACTAACAAGTTTGCTGACCATTGCTTTAGGACATAAGTCTGTGTGTAGGGGGGGGGGGTCATAGGCATTCATTTTATTACTATATTCTATAACTTGTATATGTGGTGTCTATAGTAAATATCAAATGTGTCATAATAAAAAAGAATGAATATGTACAAAATGAAACCACAGCACTGAACCTAAGTTTGAATTAGGTCTGGGGATACCTCAGAACTGATGAAGGAAGAGTTAGACCTGAATCAAAACCTGTGATATAAGCTCCATTTAGGCAGAGATAATTGATGTTACTTTCCTATCCTGCATGTACACCAAGGTCTAAAACCTTTTGACAACTATGTGTTCAATGAATGAATGCATGAATAGGACTGAGAAAGGCACATTGGAGTAAAATTTCTCCTGATTCCTCTAGTTAGTCCACCAAATAGGTCTGGTATCTTGTTACTCTCTCACATACTAAGGGTTCTTCCTCCTGACTATTTGCAGATAACCACATGAAATCTCATTTGATGGGTAGGAAACAAAGATGTGTACCCTCACCTCAAAGAAAAACTTAAGAGAGAGAAAGGAGATACACACCTTGACAGACATTATGTGAAATGGACAATCTGACAGGTTGAGAGCAGCCCAAGCCAGCTGCAGTCTCAGGTGGCTAAGTGTGAGCAGTAGAGAAAGGGTGGGACGGAGAAGGCTTCACAGCCTAGCCTCACTAGGGAAAACACTGGACTCCTGAGCAGTCAGTCACCTCTTTCCCTCCAATCCCATTTGACTCTGCCCAGAAACATTTTCCTATTGGTCCCACCCTCCATGTGACATTTTTCTTGAAATATCACCTCTCCTCTTCTTAGAAACTCCCAGAAATGGTGCTAAGCTCACTCTGCTTCAGCAAGTCAACTTCATGTGCTGCTGAATAGCTCCATCATGTGGTAAGGACCCAGGCTTTTGTATTTGCTATCTTATTGCCGCATAACAAATTACCCCCAAATCTGGTGGTTTAAAACAACAAAATTTTAACCTCACAGTTTCTATAGGTTAGAAATCTGTTAGTTTTAGATCAAAGTTTCTCATGAAGTCATAGTCAAGCAATCAATCAAGTCTGCAGTCTTCAAGAGCTTACCTGGGGCCAAAGGAACCACTTGCAAGCTCATTCACATGACTCTTCAGTCCCTTCCTATGAAGGAGTCTTTAATGGGTTTCTACTGTATGATTTTCCCCAGAACAAGTAGTCAGAAGGGGGGGGGGGGGGGACAAAAATCTAAGATGGCAGATTTTGTTTGTTTGTTTTTAAATAACCTAATCTTGAAAGTGACACACCAGAAATTTTGTTATACAGATAGGGCAAAAGTAGGTTTACAGGTGGAAAATAATACAATGATCTATACCAGTGGTCTGCAAACTGCGGCTTGCGAGCCAAATGCAGCTCTCGAGCCGCCGTTTGCTGCTCTGTTGACTAATGAGTTTACCGACCATTGATCTATACTAACAAAAGGGCAATATGCTAGTTAGTCAGGGAGATCTTCCGGACTTCCTTCCAGACAAAGCCATGGGGGCAGGGCCAAGGCAGAGGCAGTTAGGGGTGATCAGTTCAGGAGGGAACACAGTTGGGGGTGATCAGGCCAGCAGGGGGAGAGGGGTAGTTGGGGGCAAGCAGGCTGGCAAGGGGGCCAGTTGGGGCCAAGCAGGCTAGCAGGGAGTGCAGTTGGGGGTGAGAAGGCCAGTGGGGGAACAGGTGGGGGCAAGCAAGCCAGCAGGCAGGGTGGTTAGAGGCAATTAGACAAGCAGACAGGTGAGCAGTTAAGAGCCAACTGTCCTGCATTGTGAGAAGGATGTTCGACTGCTGGTTTAGGCCTGATCCCACAGGGCCTAAACTGGCAGTCAGACATCCCCTGAGGGGTCCCAGATTGGAGAGGATGCAGGTTTGGCTGAGTGACATGCCCCACCCCTCAAGGATTTTCGTGCATCAGGCCACTAGTTAATAAATAATAATACAGTAAAGTCTGTAAACCACACTGTAAACTATTGAACACCCAAACCAACCCTGATAAAATGTTGGAAGGGGTTATATAACGATGTGAATACTAGGGACAGAGGTCATTGGGGCTGTCATTGAGGTTTACTACCACTTTCTGCCAATGGGCTTTCATGTCTTATGGGCCTTCAGGTAAAAGGCAGGTGCTTCTAGGGAGGCTAGCATATTAACAGAGCATTATTTAGCTGATTAACTAAGTAGCTGCCACTGTGAAAAGCAGAAAATAGATGGACAAGTTGTGAAGTTTTGTGTGGAGGGGGACAGGAGATATAAGAAAAATTTGTCTGTGAGGATCAATGCATAAGGATCTGCTATTTGTGGGAGGAAATCTTAGGACAGTATGATAATAAAGACACCAAAAAGCAGGACCCCTGTCTAAGAGGAGAAAATTGAGTGGGAGTGGGGAACAGAGAGGCATTCTCTTCACTGTCTTTGCAAACATCACTTTCGGAGACCTTGGTCCATCCTCTGCATCCCTGGTATCTGTGCAGAAATGGGGGGAAATTAGGTGCTGGGCCTCACTGCTGGTTAATTAAATACTGCTTCCAAGACAGCTGGTGGAGTATGTGCACTCTGTACTAACCTCAGTTTTTCCTAAAGCACACATTTTAATTAACCTTCAAGCCCTTGCTGGGGCTTTGAAAGAACTTAATTGGCCTGCAGGGATTGGCACAGCAACCAGAAAAAAAGGCTACGTCTCAGTTCTTTTCACTCTGAGGACTTATAAAAGTGAAATTATTGTTTTGTTTTATTATTTGAAGCCCAAGCTACATGCAGATTCCTATTTGGAAGTGGCAGAAGCACCTTTGAAAGCATAAGTGAGGATTGCAAAAGGTATTTAAGCAGCAGTTACATGTAAGCATTTAATATGGAATCTTTCATTTAACTTTTGTCCTTGGATTTATAATAAGAGTTGGAGTCTCATTGTGTTTTGTTTTGTTTTGTTTTACCTTTTGCTTTGTCATTGAGGAAGGGAAATATTTTGACATAAATTAAATATGCAAACTTGCAGTGATGTGGGAAATCTCTTGAAATCAGTATCCCTTAAGAAATGTCCTGATGTGTTCAGTTTTGTCAAAAATAATTCAGACAATGTGCATATTTTATTTTTCATATAAAAAGTAGCTCACAGGTGCTTATTAAAAATCAATTATATACATAGATCAATGCTACAGATAAACACCTATTATTTTTAGAATACAATAATTCTCAGGATAAAGCCATTAAGAGTGAGAGATTTCACCAAAGGAATGAGGCAAAGAGAAAAAGCAGAGTGACAGGAACTGGTATGCTGAAAATATAGGGGAAAGGAAACTAGCAAAAAATGATTGAGAAGGAGGAGACTATGAGGTAGGGGATGCCCAGGAAACAGCAGTGAAGAAAATCAAGGAAGGCATTTCAAAAGAGGGTGGTCAGTAACTTTAAAGTTACAGAAATACAAGGAATACTAGAATAGAGAAAGGGCACCTGGATATAACAAAAATGGGATGTGGGAGTGACAGGTTTTCTGTGCTTCACTTTTATTTTGTTCCAAAAGCTTAACAAAGG